TATATATATATATATATAATAGTTCGCAGAAGAATTATGGGAATTAAGACAACTGTTTTTTGAAATCTGAAACGAAAGTTATTATCTTAATGAAACAACGGATCGAAGTTGGCTCAATTAACGAAGTCGCCCCTTCTGCCACAAATTGAAAACTGAATGGCTATAAGGCTGTAAATAACAATGAATACCTAAGAAAAGATGACGAAACAAAACCGGCTGAAATGAACGAACAAACCTGAGAAGACTGCGTTGATGGTCCTGGATGCTCTTCACCGGTAGCTTGGTCATCAAACGTTGGTGCCACTCCACCTGCACGTAAATATCGTGGCCAACAATCGTATTTGAGGAGATGGAAGATCTGAAATTAATTACCGAATAATCTTCCCGGACAAAAGAGGAATGTAGACAGAAAACTTGTAGACAATAAGTTCGGATTTTCAACTGTTTTCGATCCCTACAACAATAACTGCTGTAGTTTGAACCTCTTGCCATTTCAGGAATCGAAATTTAAACTACTTTAGCCGCCCAGATTGCTCTGTTATTTTCGCTGAATCTAGAATCGCTGAAGATTACAAAATACTTTCGAAGTAATTCAGTCCTTTGATGAACCCAAAACCCGTATTTCTCTTGAATAATTAGGTGTGATGTGTTGCTTAACACAAATTTTGCTTTCTGAAAACAACCACTTGCATCAATGATGGCTACAATGTAAAATAACGCCTAGAGAAGGAATGAGCTCTGGGATAAGAAAGAGAATAAAGACAGCAACTAACTTGGTACTGTGCTACATCGTACAGCTGTGCAGAGAACTGTTGTGCCGATACGGCGTCCCTTATGCTTTTACTCGTACTGTTATCAATGTTCACTGGTTCGATGCTATTCGCCGTGAAATGCCTTTCATAGATTTGACGAGCAACTTTCGAACGTTTTTCCATCTGAAATTGTTTGAGAAACTACCAATACAGAGAGTTACAATATGTGAACGACGACTTAAGTGGATGTAAGATGAAATCAGGAGTGCGATATAAAAAGATTCAACGGCGAAATGCTGAATGAATATTTCAAAATGTTCATAAAGCGATAGTCGTTCACAATATTTACCGAGACAAAAGAGGAGCAATAAGTGAAATTGCACTGCTAAGGTATGCAAACCTATTGCTACCAAATGTGTTTGCTTGTGAAGAAAATTAACACGTAGACAATAAGACCGAGTAAATAAACGAATTCAAGCTCGCGGGTTCCCGAGGGTAGGGGTCAAGATCCTGGCGACTTCGTGGATGCTCGGGGCCACCTGAACCTCACTCCGCTAGAAAAAATTTTAAGTGAGAAAATTTTAGCCGGACAGTAATCGACGATACCTCACTATCAGGGATGGCACGATATTCTTCAACCGCCACATAGAAGTTGATGTTTTCAGCACAAAATTGTTGCTCAAGAAATTGCTGAAATTTGAAATAACATAGTTGTCAGCTGAAAATTGGTTTTAGAGTATAACTTTCGAAATTTTGGAAGTGATCAGATCAGAAACGAGAATGCGAATGATCATTAAGGATATGACTGATCAAAGAATGACCGCTTAGGAAAATTTTGTTGTTTGGAATTAATTATTAACCTTAAACAGAAGCGTGAAAAAGTGTTGAATAAAAATTTTAATGAAAATGGCTAAGGAATAAAAACGATATCATAAATACTTGAAAAGGTCTCCTATGAATGGGATTATGAAGAATCTTTTCGACATCACTGGTCGTTCGATCGGAACATGTCCCGCTGGTTTGTGCAGCATTTTCACCATTCGCCATAGGCACTGTGCATTCGGCTTCGGCCACCCGTTTTTCTACCGTCACTACTTAAAAGCTCTAGTTGTCATAATTACCCAAACGCTTCTGTTTTAGTTCAAAAATAAACACATTCATCTTAATTATGAGCGTTAGAACGGCTTTATCATTATGGCTAATATCATAATTATTACGATCAACATACTTGAATTGCTTGCGTGAACCGAAGGCGCGGCAATGGAGCCGTTAGACGGGTGGTCGTCGCAGGCTGTATGAGCCCCGACGTATTTCTTTCCGTCAAGTTTATAACCTTTTCTGAAATGAATCCGACGTGAAAGCTTGCTGAGCAGGAAGGCAATAAATATTCGCTAAAAATGTTATGCAGCAAGAACGATGCAGCAACCCATTAAGAGGAGATAGATGTAAATGTAAACTGATACGACTACTATTCTCAATGATCTTGTAAACCGTTCAGTGAAAGGAATATGACACAATATTTACTCGAAGAAAAGAAGAGCAGCAACTGCAGAACTAAAAATTTAACACTTTATGTTTGATGAACACATAAGAGTTTTGAGATTATGATTCAAGATGTCGATAAACTAAATAAAGACAGAGAACGAAATATCTGAATGGTAGGTAAATACATTCTGTCCAATATTCAGCTCATAACAAATAAATGCACATTAAAAAATACGTAGATCGATCAAAACTGAGGATCACCTCTTAGTCCTGAAATAACCTTTTATTTCACTATCGCGACGGGAGTATCGTTTCGATAAGTCTTCTACAAAAACAGAAACGATTAGGAAAACAACTACATGCCAATCAAGTATTACCAACCGATTTTAAGTTTCGGAATCGAAATTTTTGGGAAAAAAATTTTGAATTCATCGAAATGAACAATTATTCAAACAGAATACATCGTGAGTTTTTTGGAAATAATTTGATGGATTTCTCAAAAGGAATGTTTTGATACAATGAAATATGCAACTGTTTTCTCAGCAACTACTACCTGATGGACGACTATAAAAGTTAATATTATTGGCTGAAAAATTGGTTTGATCAGTGGATGAGGAAGATATTGTGCGTGGCTGGACCGAGATTTGCTCCTTCACCGCCACCTTAGCGCTCACTTCCCTTCCTCTTGCTTGGCTAACCCTCACCAAGTCGCACTCACTTCTTTCGTCCTGAAATAGATATATAACTATGAGTACAACTGAAAGCAAAAACAGCTTTAGTTTTTTCATCATCATATCATAACTTTAATGAAGTATTACAAACAGTAACACGATGCTATCAAACAAATTGAAACGGATCTTTGTCATAAATATCGCCGTTATTTCGCAGACACAGTAGCTGCTCATAACGACCTAATGAGATAGAATGTTGAATGAGCAGTCTATTGCAATCACACAAAACAGAACTGATCGTCACAATTTACTTAAAACAAGAGAGCGACATCTCGAAAACACTTCCTCGAACGCTGGAGATGTCGAATAAATATCTATACGTGTGACATTTGACTACAAGCACATAGTGCTGAATGTGATAAGCCCAAAGAATAATTAGAGCATATTCAATGAACACTTAAGATGAATTTTTTGCAGTTTATTTAGAAAACAGTCAAACAAAATACTGCATTGAGATATGCTTTAATGCCAATGATTATCTACGACCACTCAGAATGCTGTTCACTCTACGAACACAAATCACCCTTCTCATAAACACACATTTTTATGTTTTGATTCACCACTGAAAAATTACCTCTGAAAGGAATATGTTGTTTTGAACTGAACGACTTATTGAACAACTATCAACCAGAGCTGCCTATAACCTGATTTTTTCCGAATTCTCAAACTACAAGAATTCCAGCGGTGCTCGATATTTTGGATATCATTAACGCTGACATGTGGACTACCTTGATTATTTTCGAAGTAATGAGACTAAACCTTTGGAATATTACAAATCCGTCTCAGCGACCATTCCGTATTGGTTCAATTTCAATTGAGCCGATGTAACGAACGCAATAATTGTATTTTTAAAAAATTACAAGAGCAGAATGTACAGATAATTCAAATACCGAGATAGTCAGTGGGTTATGCGACAAGTGTATGTGACAAAACTATTTAAAAACGATAAAAATACTTATTCTCATGAGTAAATTTGTAATAAAACCAGGAACAGTGAGTAGAGAACAATAATAATAAATTGAAAACATGAATTTTACGATAATTCTATTGCAGTGGCTAGTGTAATGAAATGGACAATACGGAAGATTTTTTAAACAGCATTTTCGTTTAATTACGATAAAATCACATAAGTTCGATTACTTCGAAAGTAGAAATGAACTGATTCTATTAGCACCAAAGTGACACTTATAAGCGTTCGATCGCTTTCAGATTCTTTAAGCAACACATCAGAACTTCCATCGATCAACGTTGAAAATTTGTTTTGAACCATACTCATAAGGAATTCATCATACTAGTGTTAATCGTGCTTCATTAAGGTTGATCTGAAGTAATCATTCATCCGCATATCTGGCCGATATAAGCGCTAACCAACTCAAACATTTACTCGTTTCACTTTGACTGCCATTTCGTTACAATAAAGTTACATGATAAGAAGTAGCATTTTTACTATAAATGTAACAAGATAGCATCTTCGTTCGTCAAAGATGGTACACACGCGATTGCACATATTCTCCGAATATGAACAGTACACTGTAAGATTGCGTCATTCTCAGAACATAGGTCGAATCTCAACTGAGCTGTTCAAGGAACAACACTGTACGTGCAAGTGATGTAAACAAAATTGAGTAATAGAAAGAAGTTAATAAGCAACCAGTTCTGCTACAGCAATTTGACGTGATACATTAGACAAGTAGCCTATTATAGTGAAAGCGAAAGAAACTGACGTGACGAAGTTGGCGCCCAACAACGAGACGAGCTATAGCTCAAGGATTTATGGAACGCAAAGCAACCGTCGACTATTCCTTCACAACTGCAAAACAGTTATGCGACACTGGTTACCTAAGAGTGATTAGCTAATACAGAAATATTTTCGCGAAATAAATGTTTCTAGTTAACTCGTCGATTCGAGACAATTTGAAACAATTAGAAGTTATTCATTTGTACTGCAATCTATTTTCACTTGTCAACGGAATTCACCAACAGGCTATAAGGAAGCTAGCTATATTTTGATATAATCAAAATGAAAACCAAGCATAATCAATAAATGTAACGATAGCATCTTCGAAACGTTGAAGCGCTAAGTCTACGGTTCACCGAAAACCAGTGACTCCTTAAAGCCAGAACGATGTTTTCTTAGAATATAAATGTACGATAAAATAAGAACAAATCACAGTGCCTAACAGAATATGATAGAAAGAACAAATCACAATACCTAACACTTGATTATGGAAGTCAGAATTATCTTTTGATTCAAGAGTAATTTTAATTCAATCAACGCTTAGATTCAGGCTGCGACTGATGTGATGATTATACACCAAGTGAATGTTCGAAACAAGAGGCAACAATAAAAACTTCCTTCTTAATGATGAGAAATCAGATAGAGGTTAAAGCGATTCAAACTCTTCATTTTCAGCTCACTGTTCCACACATGATCCTAAAAGAAACTGTAGAATACTGTAATTGCTATGATAGAAACTGAAAATTAAATGCTTGCTATACAACGAAAAAAAATCGAATCTCATCAAAACATTCTCTCTAAATGAAACTTCGACCACCCGTCATTTTTTGCGTTAGAAACGCGTCATTCTGAAACCAGCAAATCGCTCGCAGGAACACTTTTCATTGGACAAGTTCTTCCCAATGATCCACACAAAAAACATGCGTTATATTATTTCGGAACGAAACGATTCTCATCTTTTCGCAACGAATTAATCGTGGTTCAGAGAATATACATATGAATAGAAGTTCAATGAGCTAAAGAAATGGTGCACTGAATTGGTGCATTTCAAGGGATCATGGCCAGAAGGAATGCAACTCGCTGAATGCTAATGAGAAAATCAGAAAATTGGATTTCCTCGTTTAAAAATGTCAACGACGCACTCAAATTTGTTCTCATTTCGCAAAAGTGAACTCAATCATTCAAACGCAGACACACACATACACATATACACACGTACACATATACACACACACACGCACATAAACTGTCGAAACTAAAGCCTTTTTTGAATATCTCTTAAATTGAGATATTCTTGTGTTTATCTCTTTAATGACATCAGACTTTTGTCAAAGACTTTGGACCGACTAATTTAGGTACTATCTTCTTTCAA